ATAGCTCAAAATTAAAGAACAGAGCCCTACTTTGCATCCAATCATCCAGATATAAAATATCGCAATTTCATTATTTATAGCACTAACTTCTCTAACATAAGTATACTCTATTTTAGGGCTCATTTGGTTGAATGTGGGAAATGCAAATTGCTTAGAACTTTATATTTCCATATTATTGAAATTCCTTGGAAATGTCAAATTGTGTTTGGTTAACCATGGGAAGTGGAAATTCCACTTATCTAGGTATCCCTAACTAATAAAAATTTCCATATTGAGAAAAGTGGAAATTCATAAAATTATCTACTTCCCATAAATTTGTTAACCAAACAACTCAAAAGAATTTCAATTCCTAAAAATTTTAACTTCTCATATTTTTATTTGTCAACCAAACGACACTTAAAATTTGGAAAATTTCACAACAACAAACCAACTTTTGCTACATTCTCCCAAAATGGACCAACCTTTAAATCTTCCCAAAATAAACACAAGTTTGTATTTTTTCTCCCTAGTAAACCTAGCTGGTCACTTGACCTGTTATACTAGGTTGCAATCCACGTGTCATGTCCTTATTGGTTAATTTTTTGTTATTTTTTTAAAATATTTTGATAATTAACAAAAATTATTTATTTTAATTAATCAAATAATTAAAAAAAAAAAAAAACACCCTCCCTTTCCCCACCACTGTCAGCCCTCCCCCTACCAGCCATCTCTCCCCGGCCTGCCGGCGGCCGACGCCCAACCGCAAGCAGCACCTCAACACACAAAACCCACGCAACTCCCCTGCTCCCTACACTCCACCACACCAAAACATAGCAGCCCGCACCAACCATTTAACACCACCGCCTAGCTGCTCCTTTCACCTTCAATTACCCCCAAATTCCCTCAACCAACAAATACATTGATGCTCCCTGCACGCACCAAAAGCAGCCAGCAAATGCTACACTTTACCCTTACTGCTGCGGAAATCCAGCCACCATATCAGCCCTCATCACCACTGCATTTCCTTGTCATCACAAAACATAGCAAATCGCAAATCACCCATTTAGGGGAAAGGCGAAAGCGAGGTGAAGTTGGAAGGGAGGAAAGCGATGGTGGAAGGGAGGGGCTGTGGAGGGGAAAGATTGAGGAGGAGTGAGAGTTCTTCAAGGCGACATCGGCGTACTGTTGGCCGCTGAATTTTAGGCCTTTTACGTCAGTGTTTGGTTTGAAGGAGATGTTTCACATGTTTGGGACGGTTGATGCGGTGGTTGGTGCGGCGGAGGAAGTTATGTTGGTGGTGGTTTGAGGGTGGATGTGATTATGGTGTTTGTGTTTGGGTCTTTTTAGAGAAGGGGTGGTGTTTTTGGTGGGAGAAGAAGAGGAAAGGCCGAAAGGGGGGTGGGGTGGGGTGGGGTGGGGTCGTCGGCGCCTGGGGTTGAGTTGAGCGTCGGGAGTCGGTAGGGGGAGGGAGGGGGGAGTGGCTGGGGGAGGAGGGCTGGAGGAGGTCAGAATTCTTTGATTGTTTGTTAGTTTTTTTTTTTTTTTTGTTTTTTTTTTTTAATTTAAAAAGATAATTAAATGAAAAAAAAATGACCGATTGTTCAGGTCACAAGTCATTTGGATTTGTTACGGGAAAAAAAATACAAACTTGTGTTTATTTTGAAAAGATTTAAAAATTAGTCCATTTTGAGGTAATAGAGCAAAAATTGATTTGGTGTTGTTAAATTTTCCTTAAAATTATTATTCGTTGTAGATTGATTATACAAGGGGTGAATTAAAATATGATGCCAATATGGAGACAAGGAGTACTGCGCCTAAAAAAACAAAAATAAAAAAAGTAGGGAAGGAAAAAAAAAAAAAAGGAGGCAGCAAATCTTTGGCAATAGATATCGACGACCAAAGTATAAGAGGACCCACACGAAAAGTGGGCAGCCGCGCTTTCTCGCTCCTCCAAAAACAAGGTCCGCGTTAAAAATGGGTCCCGCTATTTTCTGTCCGTCAACGTCATCCTTCATTTTCGGCCACCATTCATTATTTATATTTATTTACTCGAATAGTTTTCTTTTTAGGGTCAAGCCCCTATTTTGAATAATTATTACTCATATAATAATATTATTACAGGAGTAATTAAATTAATAATGTTATAAATGTGCGTATGATCCTTTTAAGGTAGTCACGCCACCTCTCTGTGTTCTGGCAGCAGCCCTTCTTTTTTAGCTTATGTAATTCAATCGCTTTCGTATTTGATTATCCTCAAGATTTGTTGTTGATGCACGAGCTACTACTTGGATTCCTCTTTTTTTTTTTTTCGGTTCTTCTTTAATACAGAGTATTTATGCATTTTATTTACCTAATCCATGATCCATGTATGTATATTTTTTAAGGATATAATTGAATTTAGGAATTCTGCTTTTTCGTTTTTTAGGGAATTTAGGAATTCTACTTTGAATTTTTGTAAATTCTTTTTTTTTTTTTTTGAATATTATTTGACCTTTAGTTATATGAAGTACAATTATCATTATAGAATTGGATATATGCTTTACTTTACTACTCGTATTTTGAAGGCATATCATATCATAGTAATTATGAAACATTGATATGAATTAAAAGAAGGTTGAATTAAGAAATGTGTTTCACGTACTAAGTATCCACTAATGTTTTTTTTTTTTTGTTTCCTTTTTTCTTTCTAAAGATATCCGAACAATTGATTTTACATTTATGCACAAGTATGGAAAAAAAGAGCAATATATTAGAAATTAATACGAGTACTAAAAATCAATTCTTATACTTTATACTTTTATTAACAACAAATTATGTTTAAAATAACTTGTAAGTTAAGAGTTTAAGTCATTTACCAAATAAATAAATTAATTAGAAAACCACATTAAAAAAAAGGACACATATATTTAAATAAAAAATAAAGTATTTAAATATTAATTCGACTAATAAAATAAAAAAAATAAAAAAAAAGTAGGTTGTGAAGACGGCATAAGTTGAAGAAAGTAGTCGCATCCGTGTGTAAGCAAAAACGAAGTAAAAGAAAATGAAAGGACAAGAACGTATTAACAGAAATGTCTAAAATGCATTCCCACTAATAAATCCAATAATTAACACTAATGCGTTTCCACTAGTACGTTGCTCAGTCCTCACCTGAACAAGTCATTGGTCTATTTTTCCTATCTCTGATAACTACATTTGTCTTCTTCACATGCCACATTATTATTATTCCTTCATTTGCCTTTTTTTTTTTCCCCTTTTTTTAGTATACGGTCCTTCTCCGTAGCCTAATTTTTTGATACGGAGTACTTATTAGCAGCTTCCAGGGTGCTTCTCCAGATGTAAATCTTTAATTGTTTTGTACTTATTATTCTGAAAAAAAAAAAAAAAAACTTTTTAGATATATATACGGAGTATACAGGACAAGATACAATGAATTTAAAATCAAGATACTCCGTAATCTTGTGCGAATTGGTCAATTCTATAGTGATTGATGCTTAATCCAAATAAATAATCAACTACCTGCGGTTTGCTGGTGGAAATAGTTTAAAATTATAATCTGTAAAAAAAATAATTCAAGACAATTTGTGTGTGGCTAGGCCACACCATGTGGTCGCTTATAAAAGAACAAAATAATTCTTAATAACATTGATTTAGTAACCCCTATAATATGGATCGAGTAACTTTTATAACACTACTTCGTGAAGAAAATTTTACTCGTATATCAAGTACTTAATTAATTTGTTATATAATGATTGGTGGAAAAAGTACTTCGTGTATGTGTTGACAAATGTCATCACAAACTTTGATCTTTTATGCATTTCTATTTAACAGTTTTGCAATCACACCAAAAAAAAATAAAAATAAAAATAAAAAATGAAAGGGTTGAGGTTTATTCATACTATAAGAATGATCAAAATCTATACATATGAACAATTTACCAAAAATTGTTAAGTAAAATTCAAATTAGGAAATAATTATCTTATTAATTTGTAAATAATTTATTATAAAAAGACTTTGTAGGAAAGTCACAAGAAGAGCTCTACTTAAAACGAGAAGTATAGGACGTTCCATGTACTTAATCGACCAACACTTCTTTGTCACTACTTAATTTCATTTTTTTTTCCTTCTTAGAAGTTTTCAAGCCTACTCAAACATATCCATATTCCTAGAAGTCTCACTTTTTGACTTCTTAGCTTTCACAATACATCTTGTTACCGTCGGTTGATTTAAGCGCAATGCTTTAAGACACTCCATTTTTTACTTTTAGACAGCAAACTCAATCATCTCATAACAGGAACTATTTAATTTTACTTTCTTTTTCAACTTTTTACCTCTTATAAAATTAAAAACAAAATCCAAAATTATATGAAGTAGTTAATAATAAATTTGACAATTAATTAACTGTACAAATAACATGTATCATAAACTTATTTAACGTAACAAGTAAAAAACTCGACTGTTATTAAGAGTTCATAATTAGATTTTACAAAGAAGCACAAATATTAAATTTGTCTGACACCGTTACAAAGAAAAAAAAAAAAAAAAGTTGGAACAAAGAAGGTAAAAATGCAACTTTTGTAAAAAACTAATAATAATAATAATAATAATAATAAAAAAAGGAAAAATGCAACTTCTAAAACTTAGCTCTAGATTAGAGTACAATTAAAAATTACTCAAAGGATAGTACAAGTAGTAATAATTCAATGTTCGTACTAGTACTACTAATCAAAAATGAATCCAGAGCATGCAGACAAATAGTTCCAAATATAAGTATGTATAGACGCCAGATGTCACCCAGTCTACTACATTGAAACTCACCTATTCAGTCTCACATTACTCCATTATTTTTTATTTTCCCCTTTGTTTTTTTACAATTAATTAACGAAACAAAAAGATCCAAAACTCGTGCACCAATCTTATCCGTTTGCATTCCACTAAATTTAATTTTTTAACCCAAAAGAATCAATCAAAAAAATATTTCCTTCAAAAATAAAAAATATAAACAAAGTAATTTATTCGAATATTATAATACTATTATATGGGTAATCGATTATATCTGATCCAAAATAGTACGAAAATTACAATGTATTTTTCATGAAACAACAGAGAATTCAAAATTAAAGATTACATCACTTTCTTCTCTATTCTCTGTCGCAAAAAGGGATCTTTTAACTTAAGTAATATACTTAATTAAGCTAAATCTAATTAAATTGATAATAAAAAAAAACTATACAAAAAAAAAAAACCCAGAAAATTCGGTGATCCAAATCCTAATCGGAGCTCCATAGATCCACCCTCATTTTTTCTTTTTCTTTTTTCCTAAAAATAATACCGAGGAAATTCAAAAAAACAAAAACTTCCTTTTTTTTTTCCTTTAATTTTTTTTCCTTCCTCTCATCCCAACGTAATTATAGCTAAGATCCTGAAAAACACCACTAATTAAAGCGGCGCAAAAATATTAAAAGGATCAAGCCAAATCGGACGGTGGAGGTTGGTTAAGATCGATCTCGAGACCTCTGGGAGTACCACTGTTAAGATCGTGGTTCAAATCAACGACGGAAGACGAGTCGGAATCGCTCTGGACACCGCACGCCGGCGGCGCGTGACGTTCACTCGCCGGCACGTGATGAAATATGAACTGTTGTTGTGGGTTATTGTTGTTGTATTGTTGAAGAAACTGGTGTTGAGGTTGACTTTGCCTCGCAATGGCGTCGAAATAGAAAAACTGATTCATATTCGCCGGGAAACCAACCGCCGGCGCAGGAGCAACCCTAACCTGTTGGAAGGGAAACCTGACTCCAACCGCCGCATCTCCGGCGAAGTTTCCGGCGAGATTAAGATCCAACGGTAGAGATTCAACCATCACCGCCGCCGCCGACGCCGCCATTGGTACCGGCTTTTCATGGCTAGAGGACTCAACGGTACTACTCTGACTGGGACTTCGGTTGTTATTGTTACTACAACTCAAATTGTTGTTGTTGTGGTGGTTGTTAAGGTGGTGGTGGTTAAGGTTATTCAAAGGTGTATTGTTGTTGTGTATTTCGGAAGGAAGTGGGAAGTTGGTTTTAGCCTTAGCACCGCGAAAAGCGCGTGCAGCATCATCATAAGCACGCGCGGCTTCCTCAGCAGTATCAAAGGTACCAAGCCAGACACGGCTCTTCTTGGTCGGGTCACGAATCTCCGCGGCGTACCTCCCCCACGGCCGCTTTCGAACACCTCTAAAATGCGTCTCCTTTGCATTAACTCCGCCGCCGTTAACCGAGTTGACCTTGACTCCAATACCACCAGCACCACCGCCGACAATCTTCGGGGCCATAATAAAAATGTGGTTATTACAATTGGTTGTGTTTTTATTTAATTCAGAGAAAGAAGAACGAAAATAGGAGGAAAAGGTGTAAAGGAAAGATGAGAAAATGGGTAAGGGAGGAAGGGGTAGTTATATAGGAGGAGAGAGTGCGGCACAGTCAGCAAGGGATTTGACTGATCTTTGGTTAGCCGCCCACGTAGGAAGGGAAAAGACGGAAATAGGCTTGAACATGTTACGTGGCATTGGAGGCTGTTTCTTAAAACCCGTCACTCCGCTTTATTTAATTAAATTAAATTCACATTATTAATTAATTAAGTTGATTAAGATTGAAAGTAAGGGAAATAAAATCACAGCCGTTGGGAGATTCTTTTGGTCTGGTAGTGCTGTGAGGTGGTCTGCTCAATTTGTGCATCATTTTGGCCAACTATGTTGCGTGCTCTACCATTTTTCCTTTTTTATTTTTATTTTTTTATTTAATGCTAAAGTCACGCTCTTTTTTTTTTTTTTTTTTTTATTTACCGTGTGTTTTACTGTTGCCCCGAAATTTTTTTACTGTTTTGTACGCATGCGCCGCTACGAATTTACTGCCTTTCTTTTCTTTCTTTCTCTGTCTAATTTTTAATTTTGGAAATTTGGTGTGATTAATCCCATGTTTTTGGCATAAGTTATGGAGAATTAACAGAAATGTAACTGCGTCTATTATTAGTCTATCCGTGTAACAATTTAACACATTTGATTTGGTTTGAAGAAATTTGTCAATGTTGAATTATTAATTGGTCAAATTTTGGATTTATTATCGTTGGGTTTTATTTAATGTTTAAATTATAACAGCCAAGTTAATCTAATTTTCTTGTCAAAACAATAATTTTTTTTTTTAAGAACGAATAAGTTAAAATTAGGAAAATAATAATGAAGGATAAATTCAATAGTTCATCTTAAGTTAATATTTTAAATTTCGTAACGAAAAATAATTATAAAAATTACATAAATGAAAAATACACACTAATATAAATTTGATAAGATCCCATCAGAGTTATTCTTTCCTAATAAATTAGCATTTGTCAAAATTTAGTCAAATCATATAAATAGATCATAATAAATAAGTTCAAGTCATATTTTATGCACAATTTTATTTTATTTTATTTTTATTTTTCTTTTATCGTTGAGAATCGTTAATTTCATAATTAAAAATTTAGAGTCCAAAATTCGTAATTCAAAATTTTATTTGTAAAGACATTATAAATTGTTCTTTGAAAATAACAGGTTTGGTAATATTTTCATTTATACTCCGACACTTTTGAAAAAAGTTAGATAAATTGTTAAAACAAAAATACCTACATTGTTAAATTAAACCTCTAACTTGTCCAAAAAAATAAAAAAAAACCCTATAAAATATATAGAAAGTCCAATTTTATTCTTTAAAGTTACTGATTTTACTGAACTGAACTTATTTTTGCTAAATTGAACTTCTTTTTACTGAATTGAACTTCTTTTTACTGAATTGAACTTCTTTTTACTGAATTGAAATTATTTTTACTAAATTGAACTTATTTTTGCTGAACTGAAATTATCTTTACTGATGAACTGAAATTATTTTTACCGAATATTATTTTTTTTAGGGTAAAGTTAATAGGGCCTTACTACCAATGTTTTTTTTTTAAAAAAAAAGGCCAAAATTGAAAAATTACAGAAATTACAAAAAATATTATAGTCATTGGAAAATTGTCGTAATTTTTAGGTGGATATCTTAAAACGTAAAAGTAGTTGAAAAATCCACATAAAGAAGTTCGTATAAAAAGTGTTGACGATAGTATTCGGGTACGAAAGAAGTGGAGAGTAGAGAGGAAAAGAGAGGTGGGAGAAGCTGTCGGCAATTAAAACTCATTTTTTTTTTTTTAATTTAAATAAAAAAAAAATACTCCGTACTAGACAGCAGAAGAAGAAAGAGAGGAAGTCCGCGTGAGAAGGATCGAAATTGATGTGATTTGATAGGCTGATGGCCTGCGATGAGAGAGAAATTGAACCGCTCCATTGACCGAGTCCTACTGCCCTCTCTCACGTTTACACGTGTTTAGTCCTTGTTTTTCCCACTTTTTACTGGGAATTTATTATTTCTGTAATTTCAAAAAGGAAATTAGAAAAGTAGTGGCTACAGTATTTTTCTTGGTTTTGGCCGCAATACGAATTGTATTTCTCAATACGGACAGCGGTATCAATTTTTTCCGACATCTTATTTGCGGCCACTCCCCTTTTTATTTGCGTGCACTGCACTTACCTGTTTTGTAGGGTTGTGCTTTTTGAATTTTTTTTTACCTTTTCTATTTTCCACCTAACTACTTTAACCAGGCTACATCCACTTTGTACAAAAGGTGGTAAAGGATGCCAAGGGCATTTTTATATACGTAGGTCTTATTCTTTTGAGCTTTAAAGTAGAGTAGAATAAATCATAGTAGATTTTAGCAGAGCAGGTGTTAGCAAAATAGAGTAGAGCAAAGCAGACTATTAATACTAAGCAGAGTAGGGCTCAATAGAGCAGAACAAATTTCACAAGGGTAAAGTAGACTACAGCAGCTCAAAAGAACAAGATTTTAACAAATTCAAATTATATAGTAATTACTCTTCTATCTTCTTATACCTTACTTCTTCTGTTCTATTTTACTTGACCTACTTTGACTTTGATATTGTTCTTGAAAACTCATTGACATATACTGATTATACTCCCTTGTTTTTTTTTTTTGTGCCGCGTTTAACTTTTTACGGTACCCAATACGCATTTTTAAATGCATATATCTCTTATTTCAGTAACATAAAACTTATATAAACTTGATTAACAAAATATATAATGAGACAAACGCAACAAGATTCTACACGACCATATTAACTAATATAGATCAATGATAATTAATGGTCAAAGTTTTAGAAGTTTGACCCAAATATTGACAATGAGGTATAATTTCAGGGTCGAAGGGAGTATATTCGACCGCAACCTACGATGCAGCTCTAGAATCCATCCTTCCCTACTAGGCGAGTAACGAGTATTACCCACATGATTATAACAAGTTTGCGTCAATATCACTTATGAACCCCGACCCATAATATAGGTCAAGTCCATCCCAAATGCACATTACCATAATTATTATTCATTCTTAGCTTTCTCTGTGTTATATATATGTATATGGTCGGGATCCGATGAGAACCACCCTTTATGTGAGAACCACCATCTATGTGAGAACCAATACCGACCATTAGATTATATGAAATTCAACGGCTAAGATTAAAATACAAAGCTACCAAATACCTGCACTCCATTCTCACGGGTCCTCCTTTCTCCTTTCTTTCTCTTCCTCTCCACTCTCACGTTCTCTCTCCTCTCCATTCTCATCTCCTTTCTCTCTCCTCCTCTCCATTTTCTTCTCACGCATCTCTCCTCTCATCAACACAACAACCATCGGCCACAACAACCACAGTAATCCACCGAGCATACCTCACCAAGCAACAACATCGACAACAAACCCATCGAGTAGCCCCCACTACAACAAACCAACGAGCATCACCGACTCACCGAGAAAGCACCACCAAGCAACAACGGAATACCAACAACAACACCGACGAGACGACACCCACCGAGCACCACTAGCGTTTTTCAGATCTGATTTTATTATAGGTAAAAATTTAGATCTAGTTTTTTTTTATTTATTTTTTCAAATTTCATCTTTTATATGCATTTCTGAACTGTTAGGTTATGTTTGATTGCTTCGAATCGGTTAGATTTATGTTTTATTTGCAGTTTTAGAGTTGAAATTCGGTTAAGGTTTGTAAATTTTGATGGGTTAATGAATTTGTTTCAATTTATTTGCATAATGAGTAAACTTTTTGATCTATTATTTATTTATTTTTATTTTTATTTTTTTATTTTATTATGTTTGTCCGTTGCGGTGGAGGCTTATGATGTGGAAGAATAGCAGTGTGGCGGTGGCTGAATAGCAGAGTGCGGTGGTGGCTTTGGTAGTTTTAACATTTATTTATTTTCAATTAAAATGTAATATTACAACAATTTATCAATGAAAATATATATTTTTATACATATGTTTAGTTTTTTGTATGAACTTGCTATTGAATGAACTTGCGGCAATTGATCTATCACTAAATCAAATGAATCTTTGGTTGCAAATAAATGATAAATAACCTACAATATTTTGATCATTTGATAAATAAGCAAAAATTTAATTACTCATTTGTTAAATGAGCAAATTGTTAGTTGCTCATTTGTCAAATGAACAAGCATTTATTTGCTCATTTGTCAAATGAGCAAACATTTCTTTGCTCAATTAATAAATGAGCAACAATTATTTGCTCATTTGTCAAATAATAAATTACTCATTTGTAAAATAAGCAAACAATAATTTGATGATTTGTCAAATGAGCAAGCAATTTTTTGCTCATTTAGCAAATGAGCAAATACTTAATTACTCATTTGTTAAATGAGCAACAACTTAGTTTTTCATTTGTTAATTGAGCAAAAACTTAGTTGTTTATTTGTCAAATGAGCAACAACTTAGTTGCACATTACATAAATGAACCTACGTGAGATTCGAATCCACATCTTTTGTGCATTTGCACATTGCTCTAACCTTGAGCTAGTAGGCTAACGTATTTAAAACATTCAAACAGACTCACAAATGAGCATTAATTTGACAAAATGAGCAAGAATCATTTGCTCATTTGACAAAAGAGCATTAAATAGTTTGCTCATTTGACAAAGGAGCATTGAATTTTTTTGCTCATTTGACAAATGAGCAAAAACTTAGTTGCTCATTTGTTAAATGAGCAAATAGTTAGTTGCTCATTTGTCAAATAAGCAAACATTTCTTTAATCATTCGTTAAATCAACAAGCATTTTTTTGCTCATTTTACAAATGAGCAAATATTAGTTTGCTCATTTGTCAAACAAGCAAATAATTAGTTACTCATTTGTAAAATAAGCAAACATTTCTTCGATCATTTAGAAAATGAACAATCAATTTTTTGCTCATTTAGCAAATGAGCAAATACTTGGTTACTAATTTAACAAATACTTAGTTGCTAATTAAGACCCTGTGAAGCCATACAGTTACCAAAACCAAGCAAGCTTTTGATGCCCAATACAGCAATACTTCATTGATTGAGCTTTGACTGGTAAGAAATGATTCCCACGGCTCATTGCATACAAATTCATAAATTTGAGGAATGAAAAGAAATTTAGGTTTGAGCCTAATATTACATGGAATGTCCTATGTGATTGCTTATAATTATTACTCAAAAATAAGTAAGTCATTCTTCATTCACCACATGTTATTACCACCTACAGGTGTGGGAGAGAATAAGTAGTAACAATGACTCTAAAAGAATGGAAACCAGTTGATAATCCAGTAAAAAAAATTAAATGGGATGTACAACAACTACTACTAATCTCCCTCAATTTTCCAGTTCATATCACTCACTCAACAATCCCTCATATCAAGCAAGATGGAAGAAGAACAAGCATGCTTATATTATTATCAAATTATCCCAAAATACTTGCAAATTACTTCAAAATCCATCTACAATTTTTCAAATTCGTCTATAGTTCATCAAATTAACTCTTATTTTCTTACAAAAAATGAAAATGAAAGAAAAATATTGCAGCTCAGAATGATGTATGGAATAGCAGTACGGATGGGGTTTATTGCACCTCAGAATCATCCTCCATCAATGCTGCCTGAATTTTCTCTCTCCTCCACTGATTTTCAATCTCGCCGCTCCGATCTCGTCTTTGTCGTCAATCCTCGAGGTTTTTCTCCGTAGCAGACCCTTCGAAATTTTGAAAACCTCCTCACCTCGTTCTTCCGACAAGTCTACCACTGCCCACCACGGCACCACTCTCCTCCAAACCCACACATAATCCCACCCACAAAGACCCACATCCAGCCAACCACAACTCCACCCACCCAACCCGTACATCAACTCTCCCTCGTTGCTAATCGCACCCACCACCAACAACAATAATCCCTTGCCCAACCCACTACTCCCTCCTAAACACATAAACACCAAGAAGCCGCATTAAGTAAGCTGCTGCTGCAACTCTAATCAATCAGATCACCATTCTATCAAATCTCACAAAATAATTTTAATCATACAATTCATCTAATTAGTTAAAAAATTTAGTTGTCGAGGAGATAATTCGTAACGATTGAAGGCAAAAGCTCCAAAATTAATAAGCCTTTTTAGTTTGAAGAAGAATTGATGAAAAATCAAAGCAAATAGCAATTGAAAGGGAGCAGAGAAATTGAAGGAGGAGAGAGAAAATGGAGTGTCGAATGAAGGAGGAGAGAGAAAATGCTAGAATTTTTTTTTGATATTATGTTTGATTGGGATAAATTGTAGCCATTGAATGCAATTGATCCAACGGTTGTAATATGTCCTCACATATAATAATGTTCTCACATAAGAGATGTGGTCTTATATATATATATATATATATATATAGGGGAGGGATCCGGTAAGAACCCCTCCTTATATAAGAACCCTAGTTATATAAGAACCAATCTCAACCGTAGGATTAAGTAATTTTGGACGGTTAAGATTAAAACAAGTATCCTTCCTCAAACACCTAACCCACCGTCCAAAATTTTCTCTCTCCTCAAACTTTCAAAACCTGTTGTCTTTCTCTCTCCTCAAATCCCAAATTCGAACACAAATTCGTGCAATTTTTTGTTCAAATTTTACACAAACAACCTAAATTGCTCAAATTGGGTACTTTCTTTTTTCAATTTTGTTCAAATTTTCATGAAAAACGCATGATATTCAAGTAGATTTTTCGATTTTGTTTTTGCGATTTTATTTTTTTGCGATTTTTATGATTTGATTTTTGCGATGTGATTTATGCGATTTTAAGATTTGATTCATGAATTCCGCATGAGACAAGTCGATTTTGCATTTTTCTGATTTGATTTTCATTTATTTTCGGCAATTTAGGGTTCAAAATTCGGCGATTTAAGAGTTCAAACTACAGCGATTTTAAGGCTGGAAATATTAGGTAATTTCAGTGTTACTCTTGATTATTATTGTTTCATTTTTTTTTCGTCATTTTACCATTTTTTGTGCGATTTGTGTGTGGTTTTGTTGGGCGATTTTTGAGCCATTTTTTAAATTGTTGTTGATTCTTTGTTGGTGCTGTGATCTGGCAAAGCTTGCTGTGTCTTTGTCTGGATGGTGTCTTTTGTTCTATGTTGTTGCTTGGTTGGTGCTGGAATTTTGGAGTTAAGTGTGGTGGTTGTTTTTATCTGGTTTTCAATTTCTGTCTGGAATGATAGTGAAATTGGGTGAATATTGGAATTCAGGACAAAACTACCCGTTGGATTGGTGTGTTCATGTTCATGTAATGCTTAATGTTTTGTTTCTGCTTAATGAGAATTTGAACTAAGCTTTTAGTATTGTATTATGATTTATTTAGAGTTTCCTTAGCTTCATCATAATTGTACCCTTTTTTATTTTTTTTATTTTTTTTTTTGTTACTAGCAATAAGTAAGCTAGCTAGCTTTGCTGCTTTCGAGCCGGGGTTTGATTTTCTAGATGCAAGCTCTGATGGAATGACTGGCCGAAGGACACAAGGCAGAGTTTTGAAATAGGCTATGGGTTCACGACTTTGTGTCTCCCCATAGTTAGGAGGATCTAGCAATATGGTAATAGTAAGGGATTATCATATAATAATTTTAGGTATTTTTCATATGTACAAATAAATAGCATTTGTTTTGGGTCATTAATTTTGTTTTATTATGGTTCATCTAGGTTCAGATTGGAAATTCCCTAGTATCTTGTACTTTGATCATGCATATATAGGCATATAGATAGCCATTTTGTATTAGATGATATGAAAAAAAGAAGGTGGTCTATATATAATTAATTGAAGTACTTGTATATGTTAGTAGGCTGTATCAATGAGTGTAGATAAAGGTTTCATGAATTAAGATGAATCATATATCGAGTAATTGATTCGAATTAAGGGTTGGTTCTTCTTGATTGTTTTTAGAATTACGAAGTATTTTTGAAGTGATAGCTTAATTAAGCTATTTGGAATGGGATGGAATTGATTCCAATTCCTTTCTTTGGTGTTAAGTCTTTTTACGTTACATAAGCTAGATATAATTCTATTCTTTTCTTTGGTTTTTAATTTGCTAAGTTTAGTTAATAACAAAGTTAACATACTCTAGCTAGATTCCAATAGTGAGCTACACTTCTCTAAATTTCTAAACACTTTAATTGATATATACAATGCCTAAAAGTGAGTCCTACACGAAATTTTAATTTAGAACATAGGGTGAAAAAATTTAGAACATAAGGTGAAAAAGTTTAGAACATAAGATAAGGTTTAGAACATAGACTAGTAAAGTAATTTAGAACATAGATAGAAAAAATTTAGAACGTACGGAAAAAAAAAATTAGAAAATAGGTAGAAAAAATTTATAACATAGGATAAAATTTAAAGCATTCGGAAAAAAATTAGAACATAGGAAAAAATTAGAACATAGGTTGAAATAATTTAGAACATGGGCTGAAAATAAACTCAATCAAACCTTATCATGTTTCTGTTTCATTTGTCTTTTAAACTCAATCAAACCATATGATTATGTTCTATTTTGGGTTTTTCACTCTCTAGCATGTTCTAAACTCTTTTTAAGCATGTTCTAAACTATTTTTCAGCATATTCTAAATTATTCCTATGTTCAAAAATATAATAATAATGTTGGAATGTTACTAATGTTTTTGATTTCTTAATGTTGCAGTAAAATGCAAGGCCAAAATGAAGAAATTAATATACAAGAAGAAGAAATTACTTATGTAAGAAAAAGGTAACTAAACTAATGTTCTAAACTTTACCTATTATGTTTTAAATTTTGTTCTAAAGTTTTCCAATATGTTCTAAAGTTTTCCCTTAAGTTCTAAAGATTTGTATTATGTTCTAAAGTTTTCCATTATGTTCTAAAGTTTTCCATTATGTTCTGAAGATTTGTATTATGTTCTAATATGTATCCATTATAGTTTATGTTCATCTTATCCCTTTATATTTGCACTCTATTTAATGTTAGTTGTATTCTAATTATTTTTGATTGTTTTTAAAGGAAAGTTGAAAACGTTGAAGCGGAAGTAATTGATAGATCGGAATTTGAGAAGCATATTGAAAGTAAAAGTGTTGCTATAAGACATAGAAAACTTCCAACAAGGCTTCAACCACCTCGAAAATTGCAAAAAAAGGAAGGAAGAGAAAAAGATCAAGAAGAAGGAAAAGATCAAAAAGAAGAAGAGGGTAATAATGTTGAGGATGATGACGAGAATAATGATAGTGAAGATGATGGTGAGGATGATAATAAGGGTGATGTAAAGATGAAAGAGAAAGATGAAAAAGAGGAGATGGAAGATGATAGTGAGGAGGAACAAAAAATCAATAAAAAAAATCAAACTCAGGTAATAATACTCTTTAATCTTTACAATCTTTATTTTTATGTTCTAAAGTGCACGCTTATGTTCTAATTTTGCTTATCTATGTTCTAATTATGTTTATCTATTCATGGTGAGGATGTGAAGAAGAAGAAAAGAAAGATTGAAAAAGAAGAAGATGGTGAGGATGTCCAAGTAGTAGAAGCTAATGAGCAAGATAAACTAGTTAAGAGGCAACCTTATCAAAGAGTACCTCCTACTCAATTCATGAAGGATGTGTTGATAAATCTTTCGGAAAAACAAAAGCAAGCTATTCGGAACATTGGTTTTGGAGGCTTTTTGGAATTGGATTTACCAATCCATATTAATTCTACGTAAGTAGTAGAATGTTATGTTCTAAAATCATATTCTAAAATCATAAGTATTATCAATGTTATGTTCAAAATTATGATTTGTCATGTTTGAATTGCTATACACTAATGTTCTAAATTATAAGATTATGTTCTAAATTAGTTATGCTCTAAATTTTGTGCATATGTTCTAAATAATATGATTATGTTCGAAATTAGCTATGTTCTAAATTATGTGCATATGTTCTAAATTGTATGATTATGTTCTAAATTATGTGCATATGTTCTAAATAATAGATTATGTTGTAAATTACTTATGTTTTAAAGTTACTTCTTGTATTCTAAAATTATGATCTCTCATGTTTGAATTGCTATACACTAATGTTCTAAATTAATTTTTTGTTATGTTCTAATGTATGTTTATTATGTTCTAAAATAGACTTTTTTTTTATTATATAATGTTCTAAATTATGTTCAAAAGTTTAAATATTATACTAAATGTTTTAATCTTCTATGTTCTAAAGATTGACTATTATATTCTAAATATAGCTGTATTGTGCTTTAAATCTTACATTTTTCATTATAATTCTAGGTTGACAGAAAACTTGGTTATGAATTTTGACACGGAGAGATGTTGTTTGATGTTACCAAAGAGAAAACAAGAAATATTTTTGGAGGCAATTGATGTTCATTTGGCTTATGGGTTGCCATTGGGAGGCAAAAGGATTGAGCAACCAAATGATGAGTCAAATCTGAAATGGAGCAAGTTTCTAAAAGCTTGGAGAAGCAAGTTTGGCCTCAAAAAAGTATGATGATATAATGTGGTTATGTTTTAAATTTTATGTTCTAAAGTATGAATTTTATGTTCTAAAACGTAGATCATTTATGTAGTTATTTGACTTGTAATGTTCAAAATTATATTTAGCTATTTTTATGATATTATATTGGTATAAGATGGTTATGTTATAAATTGTATGTTCTAAAGTGCTTTGCTTATGTTCTAAAGTGTTTTCTGCTTTAAAATAGATCTATTATCTCCATAGGTTTTAATTTATATGTTTTTTTTTACCTCTAAAAGGGAAGTCCAACCAACAAGAGATTGATTGACAGAATTCAAGAATTGAAGAAGGAAAAATCAGTTTCTGATGAATTTCTTTGGAACTTTGTGGTATGTGTTGTCAATTGTTGCATTCGATCAACAAACAACCCACAACTATACATTAAATTCTTGTATAGTTGTATGGATGTAAAGAAAATTGCTGAATTGGATTGGTGCACATTTGTGATTGAGCACTTGAAAGATTCTGTAAGTGTATGGAAGAAGGGAAATTCTTACTTTACAGGTCCTTTACCTTTTCTACTCTGCCTACTGCCCCTCCTATCTTCTTCAAGGTTAATTTATATATATTTTGTAGTTGAAGGCATTTGGTGAATTTTATGAAGAAATTGATAACAAGAGTGTCGTTTTGTCCACTTTCGAAACAAGAAACATTGAGATGAAATGGAAGAGCAATGCAAACAAACATGATTGTGGAGTATTTTTGTTGAAGCACATGGAAACCTATGAAGGACAATGTCAAAAACAATGAAATTCGGGGCTAGAGAAGGGTAATGTACGTGTCAAGACATATGATTGATTAGGTTCTAATTACATCTCCATATTCTGATTATGTTCTAAAGTAATTCTGATTATGTTCTAAGTTAAATGTCTATGTTCTAAAGTAAATCTGATTATGTTCTAAAGTAATTATGACTATGTTCTAAGTTTAATGTCTATGTTCTAAAGTTAATCTGATTATGTTCTAAATTACTTGATTATGTTCTAAAGTAATTCTGATTATGTTATGAGTTAGATGTCTATGGTCTAAAGTTAATCTGATTATGTTCTAAAGTAATTATGATTATGTTCTAAGTTTAATGTCTATGTTCTAAAGTTAATCTGATTATGTTCTAAATTACTTGATTATGTTCTAAAGCAATTCTGATTATGTTATAAGTTAGATGTCTATGTTCTAATATTAATCTGATTATGTTCTAAAGTAATTATGATTATGTTCTAAGTTTAATGTCTATGTTCTAAAGTTAATCTGATTATGTTCTAAATTACTTGATAATGTTCTAAAGTAATTCTGATTATGTTCTAAGTTAGATAGATTATGTTCTAAAATAAATCTGATTATGTTCTAAAGTAATTATGATTATGTTCTAAGTTTAATGTCTATGTTCTAAAGTTAGACTAAATTTAGAACATAGGCAAAAAAAATTTAGAACATAGGTAAAAGAATATTTTGAACATAGGAAAAAAAAACTTTAGAACATAGGTAGAAAAAAATTAGAACATAGGAAAAAAAAAAAAACTTTAGAACATAGGTAGAAAAAACTTTAGAACATAGGTGTAGAATATACGAACAACTTTAGAACATAGGAAAAATTTGGAACATAAGAAAATGATTTGCAACATAGTAAAAATTTAGAACATAGAAAATTAGAACATTGGGTAAAAAAAATTAGATCATAGGAAAAAAAAATTGGAAATTTAGAATATTGGGGAAAAAAAATAAGAGCATAGAAAATAAGTTTAGAACATAGGGTGAAAAAATTTAGAACATTTTAGAACATAGATAGAAAAATTTAGAACGTACAGAAAAAAAAAAATTAGAAAATACGTAGAAAAAATTTAGAGCATAGGATAAAATTTAGAGCATACGGAAAAAATTTAGAACATAGGTTTAGAACATAGACAAAAAAATTTGAATATAGGATATATATTTAGAACATGGACAGAAAAATTTAGAACATAAACAATAAAATGTAGAACATAGGAAAATAGTTTAGAACATACATATATTTAGAGCTTAGATTGAAAAATTTAGAGCTTAGATTGAAAAATTTAGAGCTTAAGCAATAAATTTTAGAACATATGCAAATAATATTTAGAACATATGATAAAACCTATTAGCTCAATTGGAAGAGCACTATGCAAATGCATAGAGGATGTAGGTTCAATTCCTACATAGGTTATCTTTATAAATAACTAAAAAAAACTTCAAATGTTTTTTTTTAAAAAAAAAAATCCAATAAAACAAATTAAATTAGCACTAAGTTATATGAGCAGAAAATAAGTAGACTAAATTTAGAATATAGGAAAAAAAAACTTTAGAATATAAGTAGACTAAATTTAGAACATAGGAAAAAAAAAAATTAGAACATAGGTAAAAGAATATTTAGAACATAGGAAAAAAAAAACTTTTAAACATAGGTAGTAAAAATTTAGAACATAGGAAAAAAAAAACTTTAGAACATAAGTAGACTGAATTTAGAACATAGGCAAAAGGTAAAAGAATATTTAGAACATAGGAAAAAAAAACTTTAGAACATAGGTAGAAAAAATTTAGAACATAGGAAACAAAACTTTAGAACATAAGTAGACTAAATTTAGAACATAGGAAAAAAAAAAAATTAGAACATAAATAGACTAAATTTAGAACATAGGAGTAGGCAAAAAAATTTAGAACATAAAAGAAGAATTACAGAAATGCCATTACTAAAGGATCATTTTAGGTGGTTAGATCAAAACTAATAAAGGGCTGAGATTGGTTCTTATATAAGATTGGGTTCTTATATAGAGGAGGGTTCTTACATGAGCCTTCCTCTATATATATATATATATATATATATATATATATATATATATATATATATATATATATATATATATATATATATATATATATATATATATATATATATATATATATATATATATATATATATATATATATATATACTTAACATAAAGCATTAATGTTTGTCCAATCATGTTTAATTGTTTTTACGAATTAATCAAAATAAAAACATGCAAAATGTATGTCACCAAAGTTAAAATTTACCTTACCCAAGGATCAGAGCACTAAAACGAAAACGTTCTAAATAATTATGTTCATATACCAAAATATTAATGCACAAGACCTCATACTTAGCTTAATCATTAGTTACATTATAATCAAAGATCAAAATATAATTAACGTCTAACTTGGGGTATGTAGTCTAAGGTAACCTCCACAATAAGACACAACGTATAATGCCGGTTTGTCTTGTCCCACAAACATTAACAAGGCAATTAAGTACTAAGTAGTTTATAATATCGTAATTATATTATATACTCAATTAGCAAGGCAATTATGTCAAGCTTAATAATCAATCTAATGCATGCATGATAATTTCAATGAATATTCACACCAAGTTTCCATATATTTCGTAGCACATGAATGTAGTCACCGGCCTCTAACTAGTTTATAATATAAACTGACACAAATTGTATGGTTTGCCGGCTGAATGAACTTGTTTGTAATATTATTCTTTGATTATTAGAATATGTATGTAATCCAATATCAACTAGTTTCACAATTGTCTCCCATGTGTTGGGGAAATTATGTGCACTCTTCTTTGTTCCTTATTATTTAAGGAAGTAAAAACATCAAAACGTCTTTTTTAGTTTTGCTCTCGCCTTACTTTTAAAGGGACATCCATGAATATGATCCATTGATCCATGTAACTAAAATCGTGGCCAAGGAGAAATCAAAAAGTTTTTCTGCCTTGTAGTATCGTAGATCTTGAAAACATATAATACAATTATTGGAATTATATGAACGAATAAGTATTAATTATCTAGATGTTGCACTAAAAATTTCCTTTTATCTCTCTAACCCCATCCCTATCCTTTCACACCGCCTCCACCACCTCCTTTATCTCAGGCCCTGCTCGCTAGTTGCTGGCGCGTTTCTCCTAACTGTCGCCGACGAGTCCAGTCCTTCTGTTAATTTTCTTTTTCGCTGTTTAATTTCTCGCTTTTTTGGCTTGCTGGTGAAGAATACAGGGAAATCGTTCTCTTCGGTGGTTTCGTGGAATTCGGTATATCGTCAAGTGTTTTGCGGCTTGCTTCAACGAATCAAGAACCAAAGGCTACTCTTAAGTACGTCGTTGTCGAAAGGAATTTCGTTAATTAATTTCCCAACGGTAAAGGTGAAGTTAAGGCTAGGGTTTCCTCGCGTATCCAAGGTTAGGTTAAGTGAGGGGTTCTTCTTGAATTGCCGTTGACGATTGTTCTTGGTGTTAGATTTGGTTTCTGCCGCTGAGGTTTTATCAGGTTTTCGTTGCCTTTTCTTGTGTTTGTGTGCTTGATTTCTCGTTGCCTTTTCTCACACATGTTTATGTGCTTGATTTCTTTCAGTATTTGTTATTGGTTTGCTTTAGTTTAATTATGTTCTTGTATAAGTTGCTTGTTTTGTTGATTGGGTTTTTGTTTTTAAATAATTCTCTTTCTCTGCTTGGTCATGAGTTAGAGTTCCATAGAGTAGTTCTAGTTTTGGAAGTTAACGAAGTGTTGCCATGGTCTTCTGAGCCTTGTTGGTCAGTTTTAAGGGTTGTAAGATTACACAATCCCTTGATAGTTGGGTTGGGGTCCTACTGGTAGCCTTGTCGGGGTATGAATATGTTCCCCTGGCAGTTAAAACAATTCTCCAGGGGGTGAAATTATTTGCGCAGGTGGATGGTTTTCCCTGCATATGGAGTTTGCAGGAGGAGCGTGGTTTTGAGGGAAGAGTTTGGTTTGCAGCTCTTGTTGCTTGGTTGTGGGATGATATGGGCATTCATGCAATTGCTATCATCCCTTTGTTAGTTTTGGTGATGACAAAGTCAGTCATCGATGTTAATTAATATCTTGAAGGAGGCTACCCATCTTTAATGTTTGGGTTAAGCAAAGTCCTCCATTTTCTTGCATTCTCTGTTGGTAGAGTTGCAAGAAGAGAACCTGCATTTGGATGCACGGTTTCTCATAGTAGAGTCGTTAAAGCATATGACTTTATAGGTTTTGTTCCCAGACTCTTAGGATGCAACAATGCATTTCAACCATACCCATAGAAGTGGAATGGTGTCAAAGGTCCGTTCTTCAGCAAAAGGGTGCATATTTCTGGTTCTTCCGTCTCCTAACAATTTCCATCATGATTTTCCTTCAGTGTCAATGCCAGTTCGGGTTCTCTTCAATGTTTATGACCTGCGCTCTTGGTCCATCTCAACTATTTATGTTGATTTGGCTTCTCTTGGTCCACAGCATGGATGTGGTTCAGTTTTCTTGGTTGTCCAGGCTCCATAGCTATTGGTTTGATGCAAGATTTTTTCAGTATTTTGTTCTCTTCGTTCTTCCTGTAATGGTTGGTAGTAAGCCGTATTCGAGGGTTTGTTTAGGCGTGTTGCTTAGCTCTCTTAGGTTGTACTTCTGTTTTTATTTATAAAGTTCTCTTTGTCAGAAAAAGAAAAAGTATTAATTATCTTATTTATCGCATAATGATGTACAAGTACAACACTATTTTTAAAACACATGCTATGTACAATACTCGCCATCTCATAAAATAGTACCTATTTTATTTTACACACGCGGTCTTAGTTTCAAGGTACGTCTTTGACTATCAAAATCTTTAATTGCGCATTAAATAACAATTATAAAAAGTTAGTATTATCATACTAAACATTGAGATTATCTATGATATCTCGATCACATTACTATATTCAATTCTTCCTAGTATATCATTGAGAATTTGTTGTTAAAGTTTTGAGCGTGAAAAAGAAATGGGCATGGTATTATAGGGAGTTTCTATTTAATACCGTTGGGAATTTCATCCCAAGTCCCACTTGGAAGAAATAGCAAGGTAAAGAGCTATTTATATAGTGGTGCTCAATACACTAATACAAGGCCTTTTGGGAAGGAGCCCAAAAACAAAACCGTGCGGGCTTGGCCCAAAGCAGACAATATTGTACTAGCTAGTGAGTGTATGAGCATGCATCGACGACCTAACAAATGATATCAGAGCCGGGCGGTTCGGTCCGGGGCGGGTGACTGTCGTGGAGTATGTGGGGTGTTCCTCGTGTGTCCTCGATGTTTGGTGATCTGTGCCCATTGTGTCAAAAGTCCTCTTGATAGAGTTCAAACTGGACAGACCAGGGGTTGTCCTATAACCGGTGGGGTTACCTTGTAACTTATGGTTGTAGTGAGTGGGCATGGTCTGATGGTTTGCGAACCA